GGGACCCCCTCCCCCTCCCTTCATCATCCTCATCCTCCCCCGGGACCCCTCCCCTCCCCCCACCGGGATTAACGGGGATTAACGGGAGGGGATAAAGGGGTGGGGGAGGGGTTGGGGGGGAGGGGGGGTTCAGGGGGGTCCCAGAGGCCTCCCAGGGACCCCCCCGGGAGGAGCGGGGTCATAGAGAGACCCCCGAGGGGGGCAGAGAGACCCCCAGGGTCATAGAGAGACCCCCGAGGGGGGCAGAGAGACCCCCAGGGTCATAGAGAGACCCCCGAGGGGGGCAGAGAGACCCCCAGGGTCATAGAGAGGGGGACAGAGAGACCCCTGAGACCTCCAGGGTCATAGAGAGACCCCCGAGGGGGACAGAGAGACCCCTGAGACCCCCAGGGTCATAGAGAGACCCCTGAGAGGGACAGAGAGACCCCCAAGGTCATAGAGAGACCCCCGAGGGGGGCAGAGAGACCCCTGAGACCCCCAGGGTCATAGAGAGACCCCTGAGAGGGACAGAGAGACCCCTGAGACCTCCAGGGTCATAGAGAGGGGCCTGAGAGACCCCCAGGGTTATAGAGAGACCCCCGAGGGGGACAGAGAGACCCCCGAGACCTCCAGGGTCATAGAGAGGGGCCCAGAGAGTCCCTCGAGACCCCCAGGGTCATAGAGAGATCCCTGAGGGGGACAGAGAGACCCCCGAGACCTCCAGGGTCATAAAGAGGGGCCTGAGAGACCCCCAGGGTCATAGAGAGACCCCCGAGAGGGGCAGAGAGACCCCCGAGACCCCCAGGATCATAGAGAGGGGCCTGAGAGACCCCCCAGGGTCATAGAGAGACCCCCAGGGCCATAGAGATGGGCCTGAGAGACCCCCAAGGGGAACAGAGAGACCCCCGAGACCTCCAGGGTCATAGAGAGGGGCCTGAGAGATCCCTGAGACCCCCAGGGTCACAGAGAGACCCCCGAGGGGCCCAGAGAGACTCCCAGGGTCATAGAGAGGGGCCCAAGAGACCCCCGAGACCTCCAGGATCATAGAGGTGGGCCTGAGAGACACCCAGGATCATAGAGATGGGGACAGAGTCCCTCAAGACCTCCACGGTCATAGAAAGACCCCCTCCGAGACCTCCAGGATCATAGAGAGACCCTTGAGGAGGCCAGAGAGACCCCCGAGACCTCCAGGATCATAGAGGTGGGCCTGAGAGACACCCAGGATCATAGAGATGGGGACAGAGAGTCCCTCAAGACCTCCGCGGTCATAGAAAGACCCCCCCCGAGACCTCCAGGATCATAGAGAGGGGCCTGAGAGACCCCCGAGACCTCCAGGATCATAGAGAGGGGCCTGAGAGACCCCTGAGACCCCCAGGATCATAGAGAGGGGCCTGAGGGACCCCTGAGACCCCCAGGGTCATAGAGAAACCCCCGAGGGGCCCAGAGAGACCCCCCCAGA